CCCCGCCACAACCGGGCTGGGAGTGCAGGCAGCGACGGGAGGGCTGCTGAGCTTCCACTGCCCCTGAGGCATCCCCGGGCCCGCTGGGGGAGGCAGCCAGCTGGGGAGGGGAGTGGGGAGGTTGTTGCATGATTTTACCTTAATTAAAATACTTGTGTATTTTTCCTACCCCCGGGAAATTAACTTTTTCTATAGCTGCAATTTTATTTAAAGGAAACGAGCAGGTACTGCAGCCTGCCCAGGTCACTTGGTGCTGTTTGGCAGGCCAGCTGGGTGCACAAAGCAAGAGCTGGGCAGGGAAATGGGTTACTGCTCCAGAGGTTCCAGCAGCCCCTCGCACCAGCACATCATTTACTTACAAACATGCATTGCCCAGGCAATGTCTTCCAAGTTTTATTTTCCTCTTTCCTTCGCATGTTCAATTCCAGAAAGAAATGTAGCATGTCAGTGGCTCAAATAATTCAAACTATGTGTTAGAACTCAAATTTGGTGGTGGTGAGGTAATACAATTTACAAATTTCTGTCTGATAATGCCCTGCAATATTACATTTATTAACAGGCAACAGTTCCCATCCTGACAATTTACAGTGCAAGTTCCCAGAAAGTTTCTTCCTGCACCATAGCATTACTTTTTATATTCTTTAAATGCACAGCTGGTATTAAATAGCAAATGATGGGTACATCTGTGGAGCTAGCTGAATTTGGTAGCTGCTTGGCTCTCCATTTGGGATAGAAGGGCTACAAATACTGAAGGGGAGAGGGGGGCAGGGCAGGAAACAAATTTTGCAAGCAGTGGAGTCACCATGACAAAAAATAATTTGTTTTTATTTTAGATTCAGATTTCATTACTGCACTCAAACTACTACAACTGGGCTTTGAGTTATTATACAATCCAAACTGTTTCAATCAGAAACTCTAAGACTCAGTGTGCAATGATTATTATTAATAATAATTAGCTCCTTGGTTTCTTGATAGAAAAAGGCTATCAACAAGCATTTGTTTAACCACAACAAAAGTATAATTAGCTTATCCCACTTAGTAAATCTGTATGCATGCCAACTCATACCAAACTGCTACTTTTACAAAAAATTGCAATAATACAGATCATTTTTCCAGTCCTTTTTGCACAAAATTTATTTACAATGTATACATAAATGCTCCATGATGGGACTATGGAAAAAAAAAATGCACACGACTGATGTTTTGCCCAGAAATAAAGTCAACATATTAAAAATAAATCTTCAGTCCATGTTTCGAGCTGCATAAAACAGGAAGTGATGTACAAGGTGGTGGTTGCTGCATGGGGACAAGGATGCTCTGATGTGACAATTAGGCTTCAAATACACTGCCTTTCCGTTTCCATGCTTCCTCCTACCAGTCTCCTTAAGACACTGCCTGCAACAGCTGATTAATCATTGTTGATGACCGCAGTTTTTCCCATCCTTCCCGATTTACATCTGTTCAGGCCAATTCAAATATGGTGAGTAAATGAATTAGACATGCAAATTCACGCCCCAGGCAAGAAAGAGAGAGAGGGAGAGAGACTGGGAGAAAGGGAGAGAAAGGGAAGAAAGACAGACGGAGAGAGAGGAGAGAGAGAGAGTGTGCATGGCTGAAATCCTAGGATAGAAGAAAGATTCTTCTGCCTGACATAGTTATTTTAATGCTCTAAAAATCCTGCAAATAAGCCCTTTCTGTCATTTGCAGGAAAAGTGTAAGGCTTCTTTTTTAATGTAAGGAGGCTTCTGGAGGAAGTGAAGAGCTATGGAAACAACACACATAGTGTGGAAAAATTTCACATTTTTTTTAAAAAATCTATAAGAAACAACGTAATATGGATAACAGTATAATAGCATTTTACAATATTTCAATCTTTGTTCTCTTAATGTCTTATATAGGTATTTAGCATGTCCCCAGAAGTTGACTTCAGTTGGTGTTTTCCTGCTTTTCAGGGTCCCTGTAAAGAATCGGAACATCTCTTGGTCCAAAGTTGACACCAAGAACTCCATAGTCATTGCAGAAAGACAATGTTTGAAATCTACCGTCGCTGCAGACAACGCTTATTTCCCTTAAGCTACTGAGCATGAATGTCCATCACTTGTCCGCTCACTGCCGGCTCGCCGGTATGAAGCATTGTGGGGCTTGATGCTGACATGGGCATTCCAGGGTGGGGTGGTCCTCCATGCATCATCATCGCTGGGTGGTGAGGGTGTCCAGGAATGTAGGTATGCATGGGGGGGCCATGACGCAGCTGAGCAGGATGGGGGGGCATCTGGGGTGGGGTATAGCTTGGCTGTCCCATGTTCATACCCATTGGACTACCCCGAGACACATAATCCCCTGGCATACTTTGCAGCCCTGTGGAGAGAAAGAGGTGGTGGTGAGTGGTGGGGTCCAGCTGTGGACACTGGGCTGTGAAGTTCTTCCACTTGGGCACGGGAAGGCCGGGCTCAAGCCAAAGGCAGGACGCGGAGTCACGAGTGCGCAAGTGCAGTCGTCTTTGTGGGATCCAAGCCTACATATGGGTTCACAATGATGGCAATGGGAATGATTTCCCAAGTTAAAAAAAACAAAACAAAACAAAAAAACAAGAAAAAAAACCCCAAGAACATCCTCCCCCCCTACCACGTGGAGTTTTGGGAGATAAAACTGCTTTCCGCTTTTACGATTGGGAACATATGCGAAGGAGATGCTTCCAATCTGGAAGCCAGCCTGATGATGAGTAACGTCACATGGGGTGGTGGCACCAAGCTGGGAGAAGCCCTGTGAGGGCTCTCAGGTGGGCTCCATCCCCCATGGCCTCGCTCCAGCTACCCGCCTTCGTCTCCCTGCTTGTAAAAGCGTGCTGGGAATACGAGGCGGGGAACTCATAGTAGTTAATGAGGAGCTTGGGAGGAGAGATGGGTTAAATTGGTGTCGAGGTTTATCAACAGTTATTTATTTAGCTCTTGAGCCCCATCACTTGGAATCTGTCCCAAGTATTCATGCCATTCAAACAGACCCTATACAGAGAGCACATACATTGCTGAACAAAGGCCTCATATGAAGCCGAAATTGATAGGATTACTAAGGACGATTGTTAAATCAAACCTGTATTTTTAAACACACTAAAAATACATCTATAATCAATAGCAGTTATCAATTAATTCTTTCCCCCTGCTCACTTCCGCCCGCAAAAATCAGACGAGCAACTCAGTCAACCTTTCAGTGGGTTTGGGAGAACAATAAGAAAAAATTGGACCTAAAACAATAAAACCTCCTGCTTTCCGTGGGCCTCTGCCTTCTGCTTGGATTGCTGTAGCTGATGGGAACTGACAGGTGTATTGTTTCGCAGAGCTATAAGCTCCATAATCATCAAGGGTGAAAGGCATACGCTATTGCTAAGTAGGTTCAATTGGCTTTAGTTCTAAGTAAGAGCGCGCTGTGAATGCGCTGAACACCTTGGAATCAGGTCTCAAGGCTCGAGCAATGAATAGCTGCTTAATCTAGCCTAAAGGAACAGTTTTGAACTAATGAAAATTGCTTATAAAATATACTGTACTCACAGCTCTTTAATCAAAAAAGATGATAATATTTTTTGTAATAACCTATTAATTTAATTGGTCACGAAGCATAAAATACATCATTTAAATTTAATTGACCCAGAAACTAAGAAACAATATTTAAATTAACTAAGCTAGAAATTTCCATGATGAGGTAATAAGGCTGTTGCATTCCCAAGCTCCGAGGAATGTTTTCACAGCTAATTGTTAAAACTTAGTTCTGAATCACACCCAGAGAAGATGACTACGAAATACACTTGGCCTGGGGAACTTGAAGCCCTACATTAATAGAGGCTGGGAGCACAACAAAGATGCCTAAATAACTGCTTGGAAGTCCAGAAAGAAAGCAAAAAGAACAGAATCAGGCACCATTAAACACCACACCAGTGACTCGGTGGTTCAAACTACTCCAGCCTTGGAAAAAAAATAAAAAAATAAAAAATTGTATAAGGTATTTACCCCTATAAAAAGACAAGAGGGGGAAAAAAAAAACAACAACAAACCAAAAACTGGGACAGTTTTTCTAGGCTTTCTTCACGAGGCCTGCCACTGAAGATTGCATTAATGATCTCTATTTTTGTATACTGAATAAGTCAAATCCATTTGTCACACTGCAAGTGATGGCATACTTAATTTGGATATAGTCAATTAGCCTGGGCTAAGCTCCATAGCCTGCTGTGCACACCTCTATTTTGTATTCTCTCTTTTTCCTTTGCCACACGTAATCCCATTATGATGGACAGACAAAGAGAAATAAACTTGAAAAAAAAAAAAAGAGAGAATCAAAGTTTTGTTCATCGCCTTCCAAAACAAAACTATGAGAAGCCGCCGTTTGTTTGTTTATTTATATATTTTTTTTAACCTATGAGAAGTCTCTGTTTGGCTTTTTTGGTGTCTTGCAGGTTAGCGGGAGAAATGTAACTCATGCATCAACTGCGGTTAGACAGATTTATGACACTTTGGGGACATGCTCTTTCCTCTCCCTGCGCTGCTGCAGACCGCTTACATTTTGCAAATCAGTCTGTTGCCAAGACGACGGGCTCCCCCACTTCCCTGGCTGCTTCTTGTTTTGTCATGTGCTCGGGGATGGATAATAGCATCAATGTATGGCGGCGTCGATGTACGGCGGCGTCAACGCGCGGCGCGCGCGCGCGTGCACGGGGGGTTTGGAAACCTTGCGCTGAACCGGAGGGAGAGAAACCCAAAGGAGCCCAGGCGTAGGATGGATGGATGGAAAGGAAGGAACAAGCATGAGGCTATGGGCAGGGAGAACATAGGGAAATGCAAGGAGACAAATATCCCTCGGACAAAGTGAGAACAAAGACCCCGTTTGTACTTACTTCCCCCTGGCTTTGCCATTGGTTACCTAGGTGAAGGTTACATGTAGTGCCACTGCCCCTCCATGCCCATATTCATGCCCATTCCACTCATAGGTCCTAGAGGGAGATAAAAATCCAAGAAGATGCCAGAGAATGAGCAAAGTCAACAGATAGTGCCAAAAGCCCCTTTCCAAAACACAGCACGGCAGAGGGCCCAGGACCACTCGAGCGAGAAGGTGCCTGGTTTCCCTCAACCATGTTGAAGGCAGGCAGAAGACAGGCAAGACAAGGCAGACAGCTGAGACGATGGCAGAGGGCAGAGGTGGGGTTACCTGTGGTGGCTCAAGTGAGGTCGCCCATCAGTGGGCAATGTTCCCCCAGGGGCTTACCTGGTGCTCGGATGCCCATGTGCTGCTGGCCGTCCATCACAAAACCTCCCATTGGCTGCCCATCGGGGTTATAGGGTGTTCCTTGACTTACTGGAAAAGTGCAGAACATTGCTCTTTAGCATCAGCCAAAAGGGTCACCTCTTCTCATGGCATCAAGACACAACCCCCCCACCTAGGGACTGCGAGAGACAGCTATCCTTGTTGGCTCTAAAAAGAGGGAAAACATCTACTGCTTGAATGCAGTGTCCGAGCTAACAGACTTGCTCAGTTTTGGCTTAATTTCCTACTGCCAGTTTGGAAATGAAGTTAGCAATCTGAAATCTCAAAGCACGAGGACCCCTGGCTCCAGCTGCTGCTGCTGCTGACGTCAATGCAAAGACCTGTATAGGAGCTGGATTTTATGGCTGGAATAGTCACACTGAAATTGCAGTGTGTTAAATTACGCCTGTGTGCCTTTCTAAGAGCAGGACCTGAACACGTCCATGCCAGATATTTACCTCTAATGACAAAATAATTGAATCTGCTCAAAGAGGAACTGTGGCCCAAAGGCATCTTGGACAACGATGGATTTGGTTATTTGGCAGCGAGATGTGGAAAACAAAATCAATTTGGAGTAATGGGCTATTCCTTGATGGTAAATACCCACACAGAGCTGCAAGCTCTGTCCCCAGACAGAAGCATCATGAGAAAACTTAAGATTTTTAAAAGACATATACAAATAAATTCCCCTGAGGTAAACTCCTCATATGCAGGGATCCTAATATGCAGTGATCCCCAAATACAGTTACTAAACAGAACAGACAAGGGACAAAAGGACCCTATACAAGCACCACTACCTGAATGGGAGGTTTTCGCTGTACACTAAAAGCTGGCTTCAGAAGTAAGCTGCCTTGGGTTATTAAAGCACATAAAGCTCCACCTCATTGAATGTCTTTGAACTTTACTGAGTCCCACAAGCAATTCTGACCCCTTTGCCCTTTTGACAGGTAATAAAGTTTACAGCAATTCCACACCAAGCCATGCACCAGGGAGTGGTCATAGGAGCAGAAAGAGCTGGGAAGGAAAACTCAAAACAACTACTAAAAAAAAAACCAAAAAAACTTTCATTCCAAATGCACACAGAAAGTCTGGCCATAGAGTGGACAGTTTTAGTTTCCTTTTTGCATTTCCAATGTCTTTTTTTCCCAAAAAATGTTTTAATCATGTTAAGATGATTAGGGTTGTAATGAAACAAAGCTGGTTGTATTTTAATTGTCAATCACTCCCAGCATTCATTTCTCATTTATTTACCAGGTAACGGACCTCCTGGTGAATGGCTTGAGGATGGTTTTTGTCTGCGTGACTTGAATACAGTTACTACTGGGGACTTGCCTGCTCGATTGGACTGGTCTATCATGGGCTGAACTATTCTTCTTCTAGCATTAATAAACCTGCAAGATAAAAAAGAGGAAAGCAAATGGTTATCAAAGGGGATGACTTCCACCCATCCCCATGCCCTCTCGCCCAGCCACGGCACTCTCCATTGGGCTGAGTGTGGATGCAAATACTGCAAAACCTCTAACCCCGATGACCTCTGAGAGCACGAGCTTGGGGTTTCCGAGCTGATTTATGTTTGCCTGCTTTTTACCACAGTCGGACACTTCCATTTCATCTTTTCATGGGGGAATTAGCCGAGTTTTCAGGAAACAATACCAGC